ATATAAAATCTTAAAGAAAAGAACAAACATTAAAAAATGAATATTGTTACTTCAATATCTACATATTTAGACATGACTAAGTAATGCATCTCTGTCTATCAAGATAAATGCTCAAGGCAAGTCCCCAACCATGTAATTGAAGATGTTTCTGTGCTTTGCAGGGACTGTTTGTGTGTATGAGTGTGTGTGTGTGTGTGTGTGTGTGTGTCCGCACACTTCCTTTAGCTGTTCCAATTATGCTTGTGTTGAACCTATTTTATCTTCTTTATCTGTATTTCCTCTTGACTTTCCTTTAACACTCTTTGACCCCCTCAGTTCATGAAATTCTCTTTTCTCAATATTCTCCTATATGTCCTTTATTGTGCATTTAGCATACCTATTGCCCTTTGTACTGATATTAATTTGGCCTTCATTTGCACTGTGGCTTTATTTTTCTCTCTGCCTTATATCTGACTTCTGTAAGTAATTTTTTAGCTATTATTATCTCATCAGATGGTTTTTATTCTCAAATTTAATAAGTGTTTTTTCATTAATTTTGGCAATGTTTTATAGTAACTTTGTGCTGGTGAGTGATCATTATTTGTTTTTTGTTTTTTATATTCATTTAATTTTCAAACATGTGCTATCTTTTGTGGGTCCTAGAATGGTTCTTTTCTGACTACTGCTCATCCATGAGTGAGGTGAACTCTTTCTTGACCAGTCAGTCATTTGTAGAAAGTATTCTGGGGAATGGGCTGGGCCATATGCAGGCTAACAGATTGGGTGAATAATTCTTACTCCTTCAAACACCCTACCCTACAACTGCAGAGTGGCTTACAATTCCCAGTCACTCTGCTTTTTTTTTTCCTTTCACCAACGAAAATGCTGCCAATAGGTCTTGTCTTTGATTTGCTATTCAATTCTACCTCCACAGTTTCTTGAAACTTCATGACTAATGGGGTCCTGCCTCAGGTCACACTCCTAGTTCTGACTGTTGCAAATAAGGGATTCTTGGATTTGCATCTAATGACTTGTCCTTCACATTGACTAACAGTGCCTGGCATATAATAAAACTTCAACATCAGGCTGCTTCTTTAGCTCGTGTTCAGCAATTATTTTGACAGATAATTTCTTGTGTTCCAGGAGCTGAAATAAACAACAACAAACCAAAATAAGAAAACGGAGGAAACCTCATCTTTCGATGTTTGCATATTGTCCCTGTGACGGGATACTCCTTCACCACTTAGCTAGGCTTACTCTGAACCTAGAGATCAGTACAAGATGAATACATAAGACCTTCTCAGGACTTTGCTGAGCATGTGTCTTCCTGGATATATGCATGACTTCCTAAATTCTCTCATATATAGAGCAACTTTTAAATGTGTTAATTTCCCAAAAAGTCTCATTCCATCTTAGTCTCTAGAACTTAGATGGTCAGATGGTCTATTGTTTGTTTCTTCCTATAATCTCTTGCCCCAAGCCTCTGTGGGTTTGTAGTCTTCCTGGCAGTCCTTCTTTGTTGTGTCTCTTGCTTCTCTTTACCTACATTTGGATTTATTGAGACAAAGTTAAGAACCTTGCCTTAGTTCTTGGGAACTCCTCCAGACATGTTTGAAGAGACTTACAAAATTACTTGCAAATAGGGTCTACAACTGCTCTCTGTGGTTCAAGGTGTATGTGCTGGGGGGAATTAGAGGCAGAGGGTGGGGAGGGGTGGAGGGTTGAAGGGAAAGAGGGAGGTTGGGGAAGAGTTCAGGAACAGGCTGCTGCCTACTCAAGACCAATATTGCAACAGGTAGAGGATAGTGCAAGTGCTAAGAAAAATGTTAAAAAAAAAAAGAGCTTTGCTATAATTTTGAAGTTGCATGTTCTTTTTTTTTTTATAAAGATTTTATTTATTTATTTGACAGAGAGAGACACAGCAAGAGAGGGAACACAAGCAGGGGGAGTGGGAGAGGGAGAAGCAGGCTTCCCGCTGAGCGGGGAGCCCGATGCAGGGCTCGATCTCAGGACCCTGGGATCATGACCTGAGCCGAAGGCAGATGCTTAACAACTGAGCTACCCAGGCGCCCCTAAGTTGCACATTCTTGATTGGGCATTTGTTTGGTTGTTATAAACTTTTGACTGTTTTCCAGAGCTCCTACAGTTTCTGGTTGGTTTTTGATGTTTTTGGGGACAGAAGAGGAGATTGGGGGCTTCCAGTCTGCCATTTTGCTATCATCGCCTGCACCATAAGATTTTAATTAAACAAATCCATGTATGTATACTGCTTTTACAACTAGTTTTTCTGTTAGATGCTATATCTTATATAATTTTCCAGGTCAGTTTTTTCCTTTCCATTATTCCTCATGAGTGTATAATAATATGAAAGTTAAATGCGCTTAGATTTTGGAACACAATCATCTCTTTATCTGTTGTTGGGAAGTTCTGACAGAGAATAAGGAGGTGTCAATGTGAGAGGCTGCCCATGTTCCTGGGGGAACACTTGGAGATGAATACGGAGAACACTGATACAGTAGGATCCAGAAGCGTCCTCTATATAGTATTGAATTGAAGAAATTTTCTCTTGTGATGTGATAGCCTGGGGGCTAGGAAGATAATGATTACTCATGAAGAAATGGGGACTGATGTGGAGGAGGGCAGCACAAGTTGAATGATAAGCCTTGCACCATACCCTGAGTTTTCATTTCCCATTCATAGAAGTCAAACTTGGCCATGACACATCAGAGGGGAGATGTGGAATCATCTCTTCCGAGGACCAAGGACTCAGCTTTATCCGTTTCCATGAAAGTCTTAGGGTGTGACAAGGTTGAAATTTCCATTCTTGTTTTGCCTTCACACTTCAAAAAATCAGCATATGAGTTATGCGCCTGAGTCTTTGGATTCTTAATTTGAGAATCTCTAGTATCTTCAATTTTTCCATGTTGTGAAGACTGTTTGGATTCACATCCATGTACATACAACTTCCCACATTTGTGCTATTGCCTAAGTATACATTTCTAGAAAGATAATTGCAGTTCAGAAGTATGTACATGTTAATTTCTCTTGAGACACCTTGTCAGGCAAATTTCTTGGTCATGAAGCTAATTCCAAGTAAAAATCAAATATCTTATCCCTTGTTAAATGTTCTTTTGATCTGATAGGCCAGAATATATTTCCCCAACTGATAATGTAGGGTTCATCCCTGGGGGATATAGTGAAGTGGTCTTAGAGACGAGGGAAGTGAGACCAAGCCACTTCTGCCTGGTGAAGGGGATAAAAAACGGAGTATACAATGATGGTGGACCAGATTCTTCCCATTACACTTGCCAAACATTTAAATGAAGTCTTGTCTAGGAAGGAAACCTGAGTGTCAAGATGCAAAACTGCAGGCTTTTGTGCCTCTCTTAAGGAAAAGAGTGAAGTATGTGGGGATTGGGAGTATCTTTAATACGTAAACAGGCATTTGTCCATTGAAAAGCTCAAGAACAACTAGTGACAAATCAAGGCCATAAAATGATGCATTATATAATAAATCTGCTTTATTTAGCAATTAGAAGTAAGCAAAGAACAGAAGGAACTTCACAGAGATACAGATTCTAACGTTGTAGAACTAGTCACTTCTGCTTTCAAGACCAATGCAAGAGAGGAGGAACCTAACACTGGGAACATGGGGAATTCCTGGGTACCTGGAAGCAAAGGGCAGGTTGCCCTGTTCTGGAGTAGGACCCAGGCAGTGTTTCTGTAATGAAAATGGGAAGAGGTAATTTCCTTCTTATCCTAAGCCTCATATACAAAATAATGGAGGCAAGAGAGTAATATTTTGGTAACAAACTGAGCCCCAGTTGTGGTTATATAATGATGTAAATCAGAGGTTGACCTTTTATGGTGAGCAATGGACAATCAGGTGGGGCAGGTATCAGCAGTGAAGAGACATGAAGGCACTCAGCAACTTCAGCTCAAACTCAGAAAGTAAGAAAAATCAGACACAGGAGAGGAGGAGTAGCCTGAGAGAGGGCAATGCAGCGGTGGACAGGGAAAACGTGGGAACAAGAGCCGATGGCAGGACTTAGTGCTTGTAGCTCTTCCTGCTGGAGGATGAGGTGGTGGTGTATTTGATGGTGGAGCTGCTGCCTCCAGAGGAGCTGAAGCCACCCCCCATGCCTCTGCCACTGCTGGAACTGAAGCCGGCTCCAAGGCTGTGGCCACTGCCATAGGAGTAGCCGCTGCCTCCGCCCAGGCCTGAGCCACTGACCATAGCGCTGGCACTGCCATAGCCGCCAGACATGGTGGACTGCACCACAGCTGTGAAGGGGAGAGGGACAGAGACACACAGGACACGGTGAGCTCATTCTGCCAGCCTCAGTCCAGTCAGAAGAGCACCAGGGCAAGGGAGGGAGGCAAGCAAAGGTACTTACAGATGTTGACTTGTCCAACGCCTTCCCCACTCAGCCTAGGAAGGGAGAAAACACAGGGAGCATGAGACCTCAGAGAGCTACCAGTGGATCAGAGTGGGAAGCGTCGATGTGAGGAGAGCCCATGCGGAAGCTGCCTTTGAAATGGTTCCCTGAGAGTAGCCATTATGGCCATAACTAGGGGGCCTCCTGGCCTGACATCCTGAACATGGATCCAAGATGTTTGAGGGGCTTGTGTGAGGTCCCCACCTGCACTCCTCGCCCTCCAGCAGCTTCCTGTAGGTGGCGATCTCCACATCCAGGGCCAGTTTGACATTCATCAGCTCCTGGTACTCCTTCAGCAGCCGGGCCATGTCCTGCTTGGCCTTCTGCAGAGCGTCCTCCAGCTCAACCAGCTTGTTCTTGGCATCCTTGAGGGCCATCTCCCCGCGCTGCTCAGCATCAGCGATGGCGGACTGCAGGTTGGCACACTAGAGGAACACAG